GGATGTAGTCACGCTTGTCTCCCTGCAGGCGGCTGTCCTTGTACTTGCAGAAGAATCGCAGAACTTTCCGATCCTTCTTGTAGAACTCCCCCTTCTCGCGGGCCGGCATCATGGACCTTTCCGACGTGCAACAGGAACCAAATGTTCGATGAAACAACACTTCTTTCGGTTTTTCGAAAATGAAAAGGTCCACGGGGACACAGGGACACAAGTCGGGTCTCATCGCTAGAGAAAGTGATACTTCTGGTCCGGCAGATTCGGGTTCGAAAGGAGAGAGCAACGGGGATAGCTCAACAACAATTCGACCAATCCTGAGTAGTGTCATTTCTCCGGGCTGGAAAGGTCAAAGAGTTTGTTTGTCCGCACCAAGATCCAGTGCATTTAGATTGACCGGCTATGATGCGGCAGGAAAATGTAGTTATCCGACGACCCCAGTTATCTCTGTGGAAACCAACCTATAGCACAACTATGCTGGCTCCACCCCTGGAAAGTGCTGCCTACCCCGTGAGTTGTAATTGATACAACATGCCACAAAAAGTTATCGGCGAATGGCCCCACGATAACGCTGCACATCTCGTTTTCACTCTCCAAACACCATGCTTACCCACACGAATAACGGTTTCGTGCAAATTCAATGCCCTGCTCAGACGCACCTGAAGCGGGCCAACTTGTTGGGGAACTTCGCCGGTGGGCAGTGTGCGATTTTTTCCCAGCTACGTAAAACCCACGATTTCACAGGTGTTGAGAAACGATGTTGGTGGTGTGTGTCGGTGCTGTGTTCTTCTGACTACAGTACTATTTGTAGTACAACTTATGTTCAAGCTTTTCCCGGTCCGGCTTTTCCTCCGATTGTGACCCTGTTCTGGTAGCGACCCCACTTTCATCCGAGCAGGAAACAAGTTTGGTTTGGTTTGGCTTTTCCCGAGCGGAACCAGAAGCCATCACCAACCAATACATCTGTGCCATCACCTTCTCCGACTCCGCGTCCGACCGAACTTCCGACCATACCTTTTCTCCCCCTCCACTTGTCCAACGCAAGTCCAGCATCCGGCCAAACCTACTCTATCAACCACCCCCCCCCCCCCCCCCCCCCCCCCCCCCCCCCCCCCCGCCCCCCCCNCTCCCCGCTCTCTAACCTAGCGTGCGGCGCCCCCCTCACCTCTTCTTGGGGGCGGAGACCTTGGCACGCTCCGCCCCATAGCCGTCTTCCGGGTAGTTCTCCGCCGCCTTCAGGCTACGGCCGAGGTTCCGCTGAAACCACTGCCGGGTGGTGAGATCCGCGTCCACGATCCGGAACCTGCGGCCGTGGATCCAGACCTCCTCTCCGACGCCGAAGTCTCCGGGGGCGTAGATGTCTCGGGGGGGGGGCGTGGTGGCGCCGCCCTTACCGCTACCGCCGCCTGTTGGTCGATGCCGGTAAAGGTTGAGTGGAATAGCGCTCTGTGAGCATGGGCCGAATTCTTTTTTTGTGACGGAGTAGCTGTTGGTGCGGGATTTGGGATACAGTAGTTGGAGAGCTGAGCCTCACTCAGTGGGCCAGAATGAGCGATTTGGTATACGTAATCCACATGTTCATTTTTGGTACACTTGCTTGGAAGGAGACGAGGAGAACGTAGGTCAGACGTGAGAAAGAAAAGAGTCGCCGGTCAGACACCTCGGGATCAAAGAAAGCAACATTCAGGTCTTGTCAGCGGAAGTTCGGAAGAAAGATCACACAGCTTGCTCAGAGAAAAGCGGATCTTCGTTCTCTTCCCCGCTCCACCTCCAAGAGAATGCGAGGTCTACAACCTAAAAAAAAGTGCGACCAACGTATGACCTCCTGCCTTACACTCACCCATTACGCCGCCTTCGCTGCCGCCACCGCCGGTCGCCCGCACAGGAGTGGCGCTGCCGCCGGCACTGCGGGCGTCCCGGGCGCAGGAGTTGAGCGGCCGCGTAACCTGCAATCGCCTCATGAACTTTCCCTGCGTAAGGCCGCTGTTGGTGATTCGCGGCTCCTCGATGGAGATGGTACTGTCCGACAAAAAGTACCTAGAAAAACGGCATTGGTTATCATTATTTGGGCCACGATAGGCGGGACGGGAGGGTAATGTGCGGGGTGTGATGGCTCGAGGGGCCGGGGGACGAGGGAGAGAAAGTACGTGGTAGATGGAGAGCACGGCTGGCATCAACTTTTATAGAATACTCTGTGCCCAAGATTAGAACGGGTGCAACAGCAGCAATACGGTGAGACTTCATCTCTGTGGGATGGTACTACAGGCGATCTATCCTTTTTCGGGCCACAAATTCGCTTTAATAAATAATTATCTCTTTATATACCTCCACTCTCTTGGTTTGTGATGGCATCGGTCGGACCACCTCGATAAATAAAGTTGGACAACGACCACCCCCTCCTCGTTTCTAGACTACACGCCGTAGAGTCCTCCCGGAGGATTTCGCACCTACATTTACTCCCCTGTATGCCTCTCTCTCAACTTGTCTCCCTCCCTCTCTCCCTCCCTCCCTCCATACCCTGCTCTGCTATCCCTCCATTCGATCTCACATTATGCTGAACTTTCTCACACGGAAACCTGTGGCGTCCATGCTCCCGCCTTCGTGAACGGGCTCCTGGAAGTAGGCGAAGAAGCGGAGTACCTGCTTCTCCTTGGTGATGTAGTCTGGGATACAGCTACCCTCCCGTGTGCGGGCAGGCACGCTCGAGCCCGCCGTGCCCGGTCGGGTGCCTTCCCCATACCCGCGCAGGATGGGTTGAGACTTTGATGGTCTAATCATCCCCGAGGATCCCGGACGGGTACCCTGCAACATCTGCGGAGCGGCCATGCCAAGAAGAGCACCGGGAGTGCGAGTACCTTCGTGATATGGTTTCCCAAGGAAAGTAAAAAGACTACTGCCAACCATGCCATTGACACCGCCAGCAGCCCACGCGAGCAACGCCAAGCCCGCCTTCAGAGGAAAGATAGGCCATGTACACTCGATCATATGGACGTGCGCGCGTCTTTGGCACCATTGGGCGACCCCATTTCGCTCAACAACATCTGACGCCTGAGCGGCCATCTCTCGAACAATGGATGATGGGTCTTAACTCCAAGAAACCCGTACAATCAACCGGTAGCGCGTGAAGCAAAACCAAAGCATATCGGTCGACTAGACTAGAATGCGCACTCGATTGGTAGAAATCGAGCCTTGATCAGCCGCATTGCCTCGTTTGCATGTTTCCTCCTCTGGTTTGTCGGCGAGCGTACATCATGTAGACTGGACAAAGAATACAGCAGCAGTGAATGCTACCGAACGTAGCAATTATTGTCGTGTGCATATCGAACCCGTCCGTACCTTCACGTATGGCCCGTGGCCACGTCGTATGCCCGGAACCATGGGGAAGTCACTGGTCGACGATGCTAGGGGAAGAGCTGGCATGCTCGTCGCCCATCTTGTAGACATGTCTGAGAGGATGGCTGGGATGGTCGACCCCGAGAACCTCTTCGTACCAAAACTTCGAACCCCGGTGCGCTGCTAGGCGTACCTGGCGTGCTGGGCAACGCTTGCTTGGCAGCGGGCACCCCAGGCGCAAGAGGGGATAATCAGAGAGAGAACGAGTCTGCACGTCTGCCTGCTGTGTAGAAAAAGAGGTGGCTTGTACACTCTCGTGTTGTCGGATTGACGTTATAAGTGTCTCGTCGCTCGTGTGCGGCGCAACAATGATACCCCGAATCGGCACCTGAACCCATTCTCTCGGACGTGTCTTACTTTCAGTCGCCCCGCCCCGCCCCGCCCACCACACCTACCTGCCTTCTTCTGTTCTTCCGGCTTGAACAGCATCATGGAGTGTCGCCAAACCTTCTCTGACTGGTGCATCAAAGTGTTGTCTCCCGTTTCCGAACAGCTTTGTTTTTGTCGTAGGTCGGTGTTCTTGTCAATGTACGCGGTACACACACGATATGTCGTTGGAAGGGCAGGTAATGTGTGCGTGTACAATACAGACAGCAGTTGCAATATATGCGTACGAGCGCGCAGTGAAGAATTATTCTGCTAAGAGACGGAGGCTATTACTTTCGTTCAGGACCGTACTGCTGTAGTTGGGGGTGGCGCAACTCTCTTTGCCCAGAGCGACCCCGTCGGGGTGACCAGGCCGGAGAAAAACGGAGTGTGCATCAAATGACATGGACAGAGCAATAGGATACCTGTTAGCGTCTTCAAGAGATGCTCGATGGTCTCTGTGCGATGGTAAGCAGTGTCAGGGTGTCCCGTTGGTATGAACGGTCGGGAGTCGTGCCGTCTACAATGGCTGCCGTTGTTGCTGTTTGTTGATTGAGACGGAAGATCATCATATACTGTAGTCTACACAACTAATGGTTGTACGGTATATTCGAAGCAGCTGTAGGTTAGGATGTTACAGACATGGCTTGTAGGGACTGCCTACTCGCGGCATTCCTCTAGGGGATGGGTGGAAGTATTTACGGTGAATGACCACCTGGTCGAAATTGATTTACGATACTCTTCCTCGCAATCTGCAGTATATTGTACATGTTCCAATTGGCTTGTTTCAGGGAAAGGAGGTGTAAAAGTTTGACTGTTTCAGTACCTTCTAATGTCACGACGCGCAGCCAACCTGCATAGTCTAACCAAGGAGAGCTTCAATACCGACCCTTAGCCTTGTTAGAGTCATGGACAACCACCACTCGCTTTCGTTCGTCCTGCTTGTAGGCACAGGTTCGCTCCGCAACGTGTTTCGAAGTTTATTGATATGTAAGGCCAAGTTTCTGGAATACTTCACAAAAAACACAAAAAACGCGAAAGGGCGATGCATACGCCGAGAAGGCGGTCTCGTCCGCATGGACGGCCAAACGGCGTTCGGCCGTACTCCCAGCGAACAGGCGAAGCACAAACAGACACAACAGCGGATCAAGGGCATCAAAACCATACATGGCACGATGCGGTCCTGAGGCTCAGGTGAAAACAGCGCTGGAGTGCGGCCGGAGTTGCACGACCTGCTGCCAGTTATACTGGTACGGACGAACAGAAGAAGTTTGCGACTTTTTTCTTTTTCTTCCCTTAACCTCAGCGCTCACAGCATTTGTCGACTACACGAGAAACGTTTATCAGACGGTGAAGCAAACTGCACGTTACAGAACACCCACTAAGCTCACAACGCACACAATACACACAAAAAAAAACGAGCACAAACGATGACGACTCCCCTTGTTCGGCGCGGGCATGCCCAAGCCAAGCGATAGCAGCATACATTTACATGTATTTACACACACACACATAGCTGCTGGCCCACACCACTACTAGTCTATCCGTAGCACAACACACTCACAAGGCCTAACATGACCAACAACAATTTATCCATGCTTCCGGTATAAGAGCTTTCAACACAGCGCAGCGCCTGGAGGCCATGCGCTAAACAATCCTAAATAGGACAGCAGTACACCTATCGGTAGACCTCTGTCGGAATTTTTCGCCACCGGCCCAAGGATCTCCTCGAAAGGACAAGGCACGCCGAACGCTGCGACCAATCGATCGAGTGGACCATGGAAAATGCGAAAAGTTGCCCACGAAGGCTCACTTCCCTCCTCCCTTTGGTGCTTGCTCGACTGGTCTTTTGGCCACGCTCCTTGGCATTCCTCGCCACCCACACCTGGAGACAAGACCAGCCTGCTGCTGGTGCACAATCAACAACAAGCCTCCTCTCATCCTCACCCCCCTCATTACGGGACCTTTAGCTCACAAGCACGTAAGTGTGTGGTTCCATATATTCTGGACGTCAGTCCACACGCTTTTCGGCGTATTTTCCGGACGCATCAGCAGGGGGTCACACATACGACGCTTTACTTTTTCGGTGCTTACACCAAGTTAACAAGGTCACCCAGCATTTCATTACGAGCAGATTTTGGGCGAACCAATTTACCATTACGCCTCTCGGTGGTAGTTCTTCCTGGGCATGGGAAACCAAAAACAACAAATAACATACAATGGAAAAAATGGTCAAAACGGAAAAAACCACGGGATGACGGTGCAGGCGGAGACCCAAAAGAGCAGAGTCAGAGGAGCGCCAAGCTTGGCGTAGTCCTGGAACTTGTAACCCCCTGGCTGCCACACAAGCGTGTTTGTCGGCGTGCCGATGGGCGTGAGGAAGGAGCACGACGCGGCAACAAGGACCGTCATGGCAAACGGCTTGTAGTCTGCCTGTCGATGGGGAAAAGAAAAGACGGGGAGCAGGAAACAAGAGTCAGAAAGCAGCAAAAATAAGCACACGAAACAAGCCACGAACGGTGTCCTTCATTTGGTTGGTTGGATGTTTCAAGATTGTGGTAGACAAGTGGTTGTGGCACTTAATCAGAGGTGATTTGGCCCCTCCGATTGGTTGTAGTTGTCTTGTTGCTGCCGTCCTCACATCGGAAAAATCTGAACCTGAGCGCATCAACTACGTCCGTACGTCTTGGACATGAACTACCGGGTTGCTGGCGCGTGAGAGACTGAAAAATCTCTTCTCTGAAATAATCCTTGCTTCAAAACGTGTCGACACCGCAGGAGGCAAGTTGGGACAAAAATTAAAAAATCCTGTGCAGACCTTTCTACTATGTGACCCCGCCTGATATTGTGCGTCAAAAACGAACACCGAACGGTATCCTAGACTGGGTCCAGATTAAGCGGGACGAACACGTGCTACACACCATGACAGACCCTCACCTCCAGCTCTCGCGCCATGCTCAGCGCGATCGGGATGTTTAGAGCCGCCGCGGAGTTGTTTGAGATCAGCTCCGTGCAGAGCTGTTTAGAAAAAACAGGGACAACGTGGGTGCACAACGCGAGAGGGTATGTGTTGGACGCGGTGAGAAAATAAAATAAAATAGAAGACTCCTCTGACGAGAACGTTTCTCCTACCGCCTGGAGAGCTCAAGAAGCCCTCGACGTAGCTATAGAAGTGCTTGAGTTGGGGACCACAAGCGACAACAAACCGACATCGACAGGACGCGAGGCCATAGCTAGTTCGACTACGATCACCTCCTTTGATCAGGTTCCGATCAATGCTGGCCGACACTACGAACGCACCCTAAAATTATCAAAACCCGGAGCGCTGCACCATGGGCTAGATAGACCGCGGTGTGTCCCGACGGGTTGGGTCCCTCCTCCGGACACACTCTCACCATGGTGAGCAAGAACAGCGCGTACAAGCTCGCCGGGGGACTCATCCCGGACTCCCGCACAGCCTTCCCGGCCATGGCCGCGAGGCCGCTGTTGGCGATGGCCTTGCTAAACCCCAGCGCGGACCCGATGAGCAGGAGAAGGCCCCAGTTGACGTGCCCGACCGCCTGCTTGGCGTCGACCCACCCCCCGAGGAGGAGCACGGCGCTCGCGGCAAACACCGCACGGATCTGGGCAAGGAGGCAAAATACAGTGCTAGGGTGGGCGAACATCGATGTTGCCTCGTTTTGCAAACACCGCACGGGGTCTAGGCGATGTGAGCGGCAGCGTTAGGGTGCGCGGACATCGATAAAACACAGTAAAACACCGCACGTATATCTGGGGAACAAAAAATAGGCAGCGTTAGGGTGTGGAAGAATCGATATTGCCTCGTTTCAGCACACAGCAAACACCACATGGGTCTGGTCGACAAAAAAAAACAGCCTTATGGTGTGCAAAGGTCGATATCGTCTCGTTCCAGAACACACCGCATTGTGCCCTCCAAGCGTACTACAAAAAAGAAGGCCACATGGAAGGGCGCTCGAGACGCGCGACATGGGCCCCCCAAGAAGCACCGATTGTCGTGCTCACCATGTCAACGCCGCCCAGCAGCACCCACAACAGCATCAGCCCGAAAACCATCAGGGGGAAGTAGTGAAACCACCCCGTCGGCTCCGGCACCCTGCCGATCGGCCTATTCCGCAGGAACTCCCCACCCCCCGAGGTCGAAGAAAAACGCCTCGAAAATTGTTCCGTGGCAAGAACGACTACCATATCCCCCGCATCGAACGCCTCCCCTCTTCGCCGCCGCCACTGCCGCCGCCGTTGACTCTTCGCATCGAGACCCGCCCCCTCCGTAGGCTGTTGTTTGCAAGGCGCTGCCACTGGTCCTGAGATCTCCAGTTCCGACAGTCTCGCCGGGCTCTCATCTCCGACGGACGGCGACAGTGCGGTCGAACCCGGACTGCTCCGGTCGCCGCGAACCGTCGGCGAATCACCGGGGCCCCCGATGAAAAACGCCTCATCATATGCATCATCGGCGATGGCCCCCGCCGCCGCCCCAGCGAAGCTCTGCGGACTCCCACAAGCACCCGAGGTCTCGAACAGCCCGTCGCCGCTGGTCCGTCCAGGCTGTTCGGCTCCGAGGCAGGTTGTATCGCCGCTGTCACCGGCGGCGACGGCGTCGTGGCGGCCGCCGTTGCCTCCTCGGTCGCATTCTTCGGCTGCGCTCCTCCCCAGGAGATCGACCCCTCCCCCCGTGCTCCCCTTCAAGCGAAACGCGACGACGCTGCATCCGTACCGGGCCGAGAAGAATCCCTCGTCTCTCCGCGCGGTCCGCCCCAAGAAGCGGCTCGTGCGCGACAGCACCAGCTCGAAGAACACCGAACCCGGCCGCGGAGGCGGCCTCAGCGTGCTGAGCCCCAGCACCCCCAGCCCGGGCTCGCGCGCGCTGAACCACGAGCCCTGGGCGTCGACCATGGCGCTCCATCCGCAGCTGAGCACGAGGACGTCTCCGGCACGCACGCACGCGTCGGGAGCCACGTCGTGCAGATCGTGGGTAGTGGTAGCCCCGTCAACGGCGGCGAAAGCTCCAACGCTTTGCGATGTCGGGGTTCCAGGCCCCCCAACCGCGGCTCCAGCTGTCCGCAACGTGGCCATCTCGATGCACGGGGCCCCCGCACCGCTACCATGGTTCTGCACGGCCCCGTCCTCGTTCTCGAGGGGCTGGTATGCCGTCGCTCGCCGCCTAAGGGCGAACGGCTTGCGGCCGCCACCCGCGTGCCTCGACGAGGAAGCAGCGATTCGTCCTGCCCACCCCGGTTGCTCCTCGCCGCCCGCCTCGGCACCGCTTCCGACGCCACTACCGCTGCCGAACACGCCCTTCTTTGATAACCCGGTGGTAGCCGGTGAGAGGGGTTTGGCTTCCACCGCATCCCCCGGTTGGGATAGGCGTCGGCGTACCTTCACGAGGGTGTCCATCGGTAGCCCGAGGCTGGCCAGCACCAAAGAGAACGGCTGGTCGACGAGCTTGAAGTCTTCCTTGATTTCCACCTGCTCACGTTAGTGTTGTTTTTGGTGATGTGGATGTGAACGGCGGGGGGCGTACTCTTATGTTTTGCATGCCATAGCGGTTAGACCATCGACCACGCGTCCTCGAGAGGACGGAGCATTGTTCCTACAGGACCGATCACCGATGGCCAATCGTTCCTTTCTCGGCGGGGGGTGCAACATTTCCGGACGACGACGACGACGGCCGCATTGCTCGTAGGTAGGCAACTTCCGCCGGCACGTCCACCACAGGGCATATACTCAGGCTCGAGAAGCACGTGGTGCCGCACTATATACAATCCCGAGCCCCCAAGCAGATTGATCCTACAGCGTATACCAATACCGTGGTAACGGCAACGATCGACTCGACGCGAGAACACCAACGCGACGCACCTCCGTCAGCAGATCTCCCGAACGGTCTTGCACCGGGACCGCAACAACGCTTCCGCCACCCGCCGCCGCCGGCACGGCCGCCAACAACCGGGGCGCGGCGACTAAGAGATAAAAAATCCCCGCGATGGCAAGCGGCAGGCCGACAAAGCCCGGCTCGAAGAGCCGGAACGAACGTACGCTATCGTCTTCCTTGGAGGCCTCATAGAGCAGCCCCTGTATCACCAGGTTAGTCCCGCCTCCCACGGTGGTGAGAATCCCCCCGAAGGCGCAAGCGAACGCCAGCGGCATGAGCAGCACCGGGGGGCTGAAGCCCCTCGCGCGCGCCCAGTCCTCGGTCACCGGGATCAGCAGCGCGAGGATGGGCGTGTTGTTGCAGAACGCCGACATGGAAGCGCCGCACAGCAGCAGCCTGCAGAACCCGGACGAGAAGGTGGTGGTCAGGCCCAGGATGTTCTTGGCGGCTTTATCGGCGACCTTCGAGCTCTCTATCGAGGCCACCACGACGAACAGGGCGCCGATGGCGAGCACCCCCGGGTTGTTGAACCCCGACAGCGCTTCCGCGGTGGAGATGATCCCCGCGTTCCACACCACCAACAGGGACAGAAACACCTGAAGATTTTGTGGGCAAAGTGTGGCATTTTTTCGGCGGGGTTGCGGGTGAGTTTCGTATGGCGACGCTACGAAATGTGCGATCTCGAGATCACGTTCAAATTCTTGCTACCTGTTGCTGTTGTGTCGGAGAGGCTCACGCCCCGAAGCGGACGGAGAAAGGGTGCATCGCTTCGTGATGAAGCAGCTGTAGCCTTCGCAGTGTTTTTCGTGTTGTGTAAACATGTTGAATAAAGCAATCGGGGAAGTTGGGCGAGGCTTCGCGTTATGGAATAGGGTCTGCGTATCCCCTCCCTGTTCTAATTCCTCATAAACTTAATAATCGCGCCAAGGCGGTCCTGATGAAGGCACTCGCGCTCGTAGAGCCTCGTTGTCTGCATGAATAAGATCGGCGTCCCACGTGTGTGTGTCTTGGATATCGTGGTGTTTATCGTCCGATCTATTCTGGGCGCGTGCACCTTTCGGTATATTGGCGACGCACTGCAAGTAGCCGAGGCCGCACAGGAGGAAGGTGAACGCAGAAGGTTTTTCCCCGCCACCTTTCCTCCTGCGGTCCTTGCGGTGACAGTTTAACGTTAACGGTGTACAAGGGTTCGCTCTCTATTTGTGCGTGTTCCTGAACCCAAACCTCCGTGCGTGTGCTACCTTGTTAATAGCGAAACTAAACTTCCACGTCCCGGAGAGATTCATTCGAACCCTGACCCTAGATCCAGAAGGTTTTGCGAGGTTGCCAACTGAACCACCCGGGGCGACCGTACAGGACTATTTTGGTGACGAGTGGATTGATGCGTGTGCCCGCCGTACGCATATGTTGGCGACGATGGGGTTAATGGGGTATGACCTTAGTTCCTCCGCACCCGCCATGAGAAGAAAACACAGAACACGTTGTGGCGCGAAAGTGCACCCGGCACTGGTCCCATGACCTGCCCGAGGAAGCATCAAAGTGCCAGGATATTGTGATGAGCACGATCTGCTCTGGACGGTGAGGTCTGATGCTGCTGCTGCTGCTCCTGACTGCTGTACACGATTAGAGCTCCAGCAGTTTACAGCGACTCTTTCGCCAACAACCAACAGCAGTAATGTGTAGCTCACCACCACTTCAGAGCTATACCACCCACGGCACAAGGCGAAGAACAGGGCGACTAGGACCACCCCCACGAAGGCCGCCTCGCCAGCGCCACCAGTGTCCACCTCCGCGTTTCCCTGTGCATCACCCATGATGTCGCCCCAGGGAGCACGACAGAGTTGTCCTCACCTCTTGCCCTCTCCTTCGTCACGGGTACACACTGGGATCTATAGCTACAGCCACAACGCCAACGAGGTGAACAACCAAGCCGACCGCATTGTGAGCTGCGCAAGCAAACACTGCGTAGCAGGTAGTTGCGTTGTACCGCTCCTGCTGTTGCACCATTGCATTCGTTCAGCACTTGGTATTTCTCATCGCGGAGCTCCCTACCCCCCCTTTTGCAGCGGTACTAGCCGTGGGGCCTCGTCTCGGCTTCGCATAGCACTGCTGTGCAGACAGAGAGGAGCGGTCGCGGTTGGTTGTGCGGACTCTTTCCATGGCTACCTCGGCGCTGCAGGAGCGGAGGAAGCGTCTTGTAAACAGGGTGGGCCGACACCTGCCGTGCAACACCATCCAGGTGGTGTCTGACTTCGCCAGGGTGGCCACAAAGGTACGAACAGCGGAGAAGGAGTCCTACGCAACAAACGACGCATCGAACACCCGTATTCCGTTGCTGCAACCCCGAGCTGACTCTCTCCCTGCCTATTGCATCGGCATGGTTGTGACTTGGTAGACGCCTATTTCCCTAGCTTAGCATCCCATGGGGGGCGGGAGTTTGCGTTTGCAGCACGAGAGCTGCTGTGTGGTAGTAGTGCTCGTGAACAGGCCGATCTTGTTTTGAACGACACGACCGGCCGACCCACGTGCAAGACTATGCAACAAGTAGCAGCAGACAGGAGAGATCACACGGCAAACATCCGTACTTGTAGCCGCTGTTGGTTGTGGTAACGTAGGCAAAACTTAATCTTTTTCGCCCTCATACTCGATCATGCGTGGAGCATCGGTACCGGCGACAGGCATGTCGTCGTGGTATCCCTCATATCCTCAAGAGACAGCTCTGAGTACCCGTCTTTCGGAGGAACTGGGATTGTCAGCACCCTGTGTAGCTATGCATATGCAACCATGTGAATAGACCATATACACAGGCCGCGCAAGGCGGTTGGTTCCCTGCTGTAAGAAACCAGACGGGTAGCCAGAGAGAGAGCAGAAAAGAGTGGGCGCGTTGTTTCTGCACAGGCGTTGTCTTGGTTTCGCGCCAAACAATGGCACTCAAGACGCACAATTACTGCTGTAGGCTGCCAATCGACAACAACCGGAGAAAATTCATTCCGAAGATAACACCGCCGACGAAAAAAAAAGTAAAAGTCACGGGGGTCTTGGCGCTCGCGAGAAAGCGTCGCGTTTATCTACTCGTTCCGGGGCTCTTCTTGAAAGGGACCCTGTGAAACTTCCTGTGTGCCTGGTTAAAGTTAGAGTAGTCGGTACAGTACTCGTATGATTAAGGTGTGGGCATTATAACGGTATACCTGAGGATCGAAACGTTCGTGGTGAGCGTAACGTCAACCGCCGTGACATGTTTGTGACCAATGAAAAATGCACGTGACAGTCTCGATGAAAGAGATTGTTGTGTGTAGAGCGTAGCATGGGCAGATTATCGCGCTTTGTGTTGTTGCTGTCGTTAATTTGTACTACGCAAGAAGATATGCGTGTATGGTTTTTCAAGGTATGTTTCAGCCTGACTGCACCCAGACCCAACGGATTGCTCGTTTGTTAACGGATAGACTGCGCGGGACACCTAAAACAACGTGCCTGTTGAATCTCTCAAACACCCAGACTCAAGACTATTTTACCCGCACCGTACCTACCCAACACCCCTCTTGGATGTTCGTTCACCGCGTGCAACCCCTCCCCGCCCCTGAACTACTATGAAGGTGGTCGCACCCTACCTGCCCAACGCTTGGAATAGAGGTTCGTTGACCGTGTGCCACACCGTCTCCGCCCCTTAACTGCCTCCTCGATTTGAAGGTGGTGGAAAACATCCTCTCCAATCCCGCCGACGTTAAGTTCAGGGAGCTCCGCGCCAACAACAAGACCATCCAGCGGGCGGTGCTCAGCTGCCACGGCGGCCGAGAGTTCCTGTCCCTGTTGGGCTTCGAAAAGTAAGCTCCCCCCCGAGAGAGGGGGTCGACGGAGAATGCTACGTAGTTCGGCACGTTCTCTCATGCTATACCACATTGCAGGCATGAAGGACTGTGCTCTGTCTCAAAACGGACCCCAGGTCAACAGCCAAGTTTTTCTTCATTCACACCGCACTGTTGTGACATTGAGAGACTCTTCTGTGTATTTTCAATCAATGATTTCTTCTCGACGAAGAAACTCGTGGAATCCTCAAGCGATAGACAGGGCGACCACCCCCTCCCCCCCCCCCCCCCCCCCCCCCCCCCCCCCCCCCCCC